GTGGTGGGAGGGGAGTGGGGGGTGGTGGTTAGAGCAGGAGGGGCGGGGCAAAGCCAGGACTTCTGGGTCCCCTCCCGGCTCGGGAGGGGCATGTCTCTGGGCTCATGTGCTGCTGTCTCCCCACTCCCAGATCTTCCAGGCGTGGGCTGCGCTCCCGGCCCGGGGCCCGTTCTACCCTCCGACCCTGATCACTGGCGTCAGCACCTCCTCGCGCTGTGTCCAAGAGCAGGTAGAGTCAGACGCCCCTAGAACCCGAGGGCCCCCGAGAGGCCGTCCTGTCCCGTCCCCTGCCCTCAGGAACAGGACTAAGCACCATCTTCTCCACCGGGGTGGGGACCTCAGGCCCGGGAGCCCGACGTAGCCTTCGGCTCGATTGGATCCGGCCTCCGAGGCTGGTCCCCCCAGGCTCCGGTGTGCGAGGGGTCTTTCTTGGGGGTCACGTCAGTGAGGGGTTTTCTCTCACTTTGTACGGCCCCCGACTGATTATTCTGCAGGTCAGTGGCCCCCGCGCCAGAAACGGTTCCTCAGCCCTGTTCTAGACCATCCCGGACAGGCGTCCGTCCCGCCTGCTCGCCGATATCTCCTGGGCTGGAGATTCCACAACCCCCCTTGGCAGCTTATTCCAGTGTTGAACCACCCGCACGGGCAGGAAGCTTTTCCTAATGTCCAGCCTCAACCTTCCTTGCTGCAGTTTACGCCCCTTGCTCCTTGTCCTGTCCTCAGTGGTCAAGGAGAGTAATTTCCCCCCCTCCTTGTGACACCCTTTTAGGTACCCGAAAACCGCTCTCATGTCCCCTCCCGGTCTGCTCCTTTCCAAACTAAACCAGCCCAGTTCTCTGTCTGCCCTCCTCGCTCCCGTTCTCTAGGCCCCTCATCCCTTCTCTGGACCCTCTCCACTTTCTCCACCTCTCCCCTGGAATGTGGTGTCCAGAACTGGACACAATCCTCCACCGGAGGCCTCGTCCGCGCCGAGCAGAGCGGGAGGAGGTCTCCTTGTGTCTGTTCATGCCTCCCAGAGCCTCGTCCGGTGGCGCGCGGGCGACGTGTGGTGCCCCCTGACCCCTCGCCCCCTTCCTGCAGGACTCCTTCCTGGACAGTCGCTTCCCGTGGGAAACCGCCTGCTCCCTCCCACTTTTCAGCTCTTTGCCTTTTCAGTGATTTCCCCACAGCTTTGCTTACCTCAGGATGGTGCCCCTGCCACCCGGCCCGCCCTGCCGGGCCCCCCCTGACTCC